ATCTACTTGTTTCGTTATCTATTAGATTTCGGGTTGCTTTGGTTGGTCGGTCGGGCCCTTTGTATACTTCTGCACCGTCAGCGTTTGAAGCACGTGTCGACCACGGTCCACCACGCCACTCATTCTTTACGCTTATATTTACATTATAATATAAATTCCAAATTTTAGATATTTTTTCATATTAAAAATAAAAATATCATTAGACTAAAATGTAATTGATACTTTTAAAATTATTTTTTCATTAATTCTTATATAATGTTTTGTTGAATTGATTAACATATTTTTTTTTAAGTGCACACATTTATCCCACAACATAAATTTATCATCATAATTAATTATGTTTTGAATTATCGCGGCAATTGTTTGGTTGTCTAAAATGTGCAATCTGTTATTTAAAGGAAACTAAGGACATGGTTACTATAAATTGCCTCATGGTTTGTTATTGTAAATGATTAACTAGTATGTTATATTATAAGAAAAAGTAAATGTTATATTGTACCAATATTCTTTACTAAAAAGAGTTGTTTATGAGCCTCCACACTTTTCCTTCAGTGCCTGCCCCCTTTCCTGCGAGAAATACTTATATGAAATGGGGATAGCATTATTTTGTTATTTTTGATCAATCATGGTATGACACACACACACACATGTTAGCTGTTTCACACGGCAGACTGTGATTAGCCTGAAATAGTAAAACATTGTTATTCCCGTTTCATATAAGTTTTTATGCCCTTACCCTTTCCCCTCCCTTTCCCTCATCTCCTCCTCTTGCTTTGATTTTGTGTGGTTCTTTTGTTTCTGCAGGTGTCTTGGTTTTGTTTTGTTTTGTTTATTTTTATTTTTTTTAAGATTCAAGAATTCATGTATAGGTCTATTCCAGATCTATACTTTTCCCGAGGATTGACAATTGGTTTTGGTCGACTTGGGTGATTTTGCTAGAACTCTTGTGTATCTTGGAGGTTGTTGAAGCAGCCAACGTGAAACACCATTGTCGTCATGATTTAGTTGCTGTTTTTGGTCTATATACACAAGGTTTTAGCTCCTATTTAGAGTTTGAGTTACAATAATGGAAATTGACGGTTTGTGTAGGTTGGGGTTTAGCCGGTGCGGCAGTAAGGGTTTTAGTAGGCATGGCTCTTTGGATCTCTTTGGGTGTCAGAGAGGATGTGGAGCTATGGTCCTATTTTTCTTTGTCTGTTTTAGTCTATTACTCATTGGGATTTTCTTAGTTTGTATTTTACTTTCAGTTGAGATTCGGATTAGTCGTTTCTACCGTTGCACAGTGGATCTATATTGTTAGTATGAGTACAAATACTTTGGGCTACTGAATCAGGAGTTTGAATATTTGTTGGTTTAAGCATAATTTTCTCCAGATTCATTTGGTCATTGGAGATATTGTATCCATTTTGACACTTTTATGGCTTTGTACTATGTTCTATTTCTTCAATAAATACTTTTGCTTTATTTTTATTTTTTTTAAAAAGAGTTGTAGATGTTTAGAACAAAAAAAATAAAATTGCATATGATCGATAAATAAAATATACAGCCCCTAATTGAAAATGGGGTATCAATTTATTTAACAAATAAAAATAGTAAATGATGTTAGTTATTAGGCATTTGAAAGTTCAATACTGGTTTAGTTTAGTGAAAAAGGTCTAAATTTGCAAATCAGTGGTCTTCAGTTTAGTGAAAAAAATCTTAATTTGCAGATCAATAGTCTTCGGTTTCAACCTCCATGCTCCATGGCACTTGACACTGTGTATGAGTAAATCTCCCTCCCAACCCTCAAACCTATAGTTTCTTCTATATATACAAGCTTTTGGGTTATTGTCTAATGCAAATCTTTGTATATGGTCTATTAGCTTGGGGTACTGTTACCAAGCAGATACACTTTTGCTAAACACATGCAGCTAATTAAGTTCAATTATCACAACACAAGAAAGCAAAGGTGAGAGGTTTGAGAAGTCCTCCTGCAACAGAGCTTGTAATTAATTAAGGCAGCTCTAATGTTACATTGACCACTTGAGATTATAGTTCCAAGTTCAAGAATGGTTCATCAAGAAAGAATAAACTCTACAAGAACATACTGGCCTCATCAATTTATTGTAAGAATTCAAAGGCAGCAAAAGCCTACATTTTTATCATCACCGTCCGTCTAATCATCACACATAAGAAGTGACTAGTTTAAGTTACAAAGTAGTGGTTGGTGTTTTGTTGGGGTCTTTGTGGTTCCTAGAAGAAGGCTGGCTAGACCTAGACCCCCTACCAGCTGGTGGCGCTGCTGCTCTTGCTCTTGTTGCCACCATACAAGCGGAAGAGATTGAAAGCAGAAATGCAAGAGAGCACCACAGTGCTCAGACTAACTAATAAAGCGCTTGCAATTCCCTCCCCAACTTGGTTGCAGAACTTGTCATACATATTGCATATCTTCATCCATTGCAGCTCTGACTGCCCCAACTTGGCAAACACCGCAGATTGCGCAGCAGCTCCTACTGCAGCCACACTCACATATGCCATCACCTACACAAACCCATTAACAAATTAATGATTTCTAATTAAGTACCAAATTCTGATTAAAATAGGTGAAGGCTTCTCTGCTTGCTATTAATTCACAGTTATTTCTAATAAACTACCAGGGCAATAATAATTAGTACCAAAAGGAGCTACTTAACTAGTCAAGATGCAATGTAATGATACCTGATCACCAGAGAAAATGATCCAAGCTATGGGCTTGCTGAAGAGCACATTTCCTCTAACCATGCTCACAACACAGCGCAGCACTTGCACCAGAGAGTATGCAGCAATTATTCCATTGGCTATCACCAAAAACCTACATAACAAAACATGAATAAAAAATTGCCTCAAAGAGGAAAACAGAAACATGGGGGATTTAGAACAGAGGAGCATTGGAGATGTACACAAGAGCTTTCATGTCAGTGAATTTAGCTTTCTTCTGGATTGTGAAGATCTCTTTGACCTGGGTATCAGTTCCCACAAGAGCAGCAGCAATGACTCCTAAACCACAGATCACACACCTCAAAACCAACTCTGCCACCCTCACTCTCCGATCAATCACTTTTAAATTGGTGCTGTGATACACCGGAACATTCCCAGGACTAACACCAACACCCAAGTAGCTCATTCTTCCCAAATGTGAAAAACCAGTCCCAAAAGCCTAAAACTTCGCTCAACAAGTTGAAAAAGAAGCAAGCAAGAACAAAACTCTCACACCCACACAACAGTAGTACCCCACCCAGCAATTTGCACTATCATCACTCAGCCCACCTACCTTCAACTTCCCACTACTTTTATATAGGCGCTCAGAAAAGCCTTCTTTTTTCTTTAATATTATAAAGTTCCAACCTTTTTCTTGTTGGGTTTTTTTTTTTCCTTTCTTATTCTATAAATTCCGAAAATATTATATTTGGTGATTGGAGGAGCTTCGCTGCCAGCATAGCATGCAAGGCCTGCCAAGTGGTGAAAGACAGAGGCGCTTGTTTGGGGGAAAGGGCACCTCACAGTCACTTAATTTAGGTTAGGGACATTAAATGGAACCTCACCTTACCTCTGGTTTTCTGCATTTATTAAACATAGTGGCCTGGGATCTTTTGGGGGAGTTTTTCTTTTATTATTATTTATTTTATGAAATTTTCTCCCTGTAATTTGTTTCTAGGAAGAGGCAATAGTTGCTTGCCCCAAGGAAGGAGTTAGATAAGGTGAGAAACTTAAATTCTACCATTAATAAATGATGTCTGTTTCTGGTGGTGGAACTCATAATGACCAATTTCTACCATTAGAGTTAAAAAGAATAAAGGAAGACGCAAAGTCGGATTGTGGTGGTGGGGTCATTTTGAATTTTGTTGTGTTGATCTGTGCTTAGTTAGTGGGTCCCTGTCGGTTTTTCCATGGTAGGTAAGGTTTGTGTACGCGAGATGAGAGATGAGAGTAGCATGAAGAAAGAAAGTTGGTGTTTGCTTCTCACCACCACCAGTCACTAATACCGTGGACTATGGACTATGGACTATGGAGCCATTTCTGTCTTCCTACTCAATTCACATTAACAGTAAAAGAGCTTCACTACTACCATGGACTATGGACACACTGTTCATAAATCTTCATCCAATTTCACTTGCAAGCAATGTTTTGAATTGGTATTTGACTGATATTTGGATTGGAATTGAGAGGAGGAGAGGGATGGCATGGAGGCAACTGTTGTTGATGACCCTGCTCTAGGCTCTTTCTCTGTGCCCATTGATAACATACATACTTTTATGGGATCTGATTGATTGGGTTAGTCTTTTCATGTAGAGCTAGCTTAGCTATTATGAGTATCCATGCATGTGAAAGTGACCATGCACCCCCATGCCGCCATCTTTTAATGACTGCCTGCTCATAATATACAGGGAGAGAGGTTAGGACTCGGGAGAGGAGAGGCTAGCTATTAGCTATTTTGTGACATGACTCACAGCCCATATCTCTGCTCCACCACTTGGATCATAACCCTTTTATCTTTCATTCTGTATATTTTGGTTAGAAATCAATCGACTGAGTTGAAGCCTAGAATGTGAAAAACATGTTCCAGTTTCTGGGTTATGGCCCAATCTGCTGTTCAACCTAGCCCAAACCTTGCATGTTATTATCAAAGGAGAAACTCGGGCCTAGTAATATAGTTGGGCCATTTTCAGGATTATGGGTCATTCTGCTCAACCTGGCATCAGTGGATTCTATAGTGTGAGAGCCTTATCTAAAGCCCTTAGATGATGTCTTATCTCTTAACCGTTGGATCAGGCTAACAAATTTGATCCAATAACTAACCAATTTGATCCAACGATTAAGAGATAAGACCTCACTTAAGAATAAACATAGCTAAGTTAAGAGTAAAAGGGTCAATGCATCGACCATAGCAGTCCTGGAAATAATCTAAGGAATTAAGCAGAGCAGAGCACGGTGAGAGTGAATGGAAACTCAAAAATAATTTTAATTGGATCTGTATGTGATACATACATAGTGATAATACCACAAATGCAAATCCTCTGTTTTAACTTGTTTCACTGCAAATCCCAATCCTCCACGCTTTCATCAAGGAAGGTACTCAAACTTGCACGAATTATGACCTGTCACCCATCCAAGCACAAAAATAAGAAGAAGAAAGAAAAAGAATTACGGTATGTATATAAAATAAATCCAATGCAAGCTGAAATGAATGACGAGTTATTACTTGGATCAAGGGCAGTGACGAAAGCAGCAGCATTGAAGTAGCAAGTCCCTCCCTGCTGCTTCAACTTTTGATAGTAATTGTTGAAGGCGTAAGAGGCGTGGTGCTGTAGAGTGTTGGGCAAGTAGCATGCTTGGTTTTCTTGGATCTTACTGCAGTCTGCTCCTCCCACTTGACAAGCCCAATTAAGCGCCATTTGCAGCTCCTCGTCTGGGGTCTGCTCATCGGCTATGCACCACTCCTCCTCCAACTGCCCTCCTTTCATTTCACAACAACAACAACAACACCACAAGGCAACTCTTTAATAATAAATAGAATAAATAATGACGAGACGAGACGAAACGAGTTTAATTACTACCACATCTTTGTGGTGTTTGAGCCAAAAACATGAGAGCTAGCACAATCCATAGCAGCAATGTAGAAGACATTGTTTTCAAGTTTTAACTCAACAAAAACTTGTAACTGCTGCAATTCAAACATCTCCACCGACTCCCTATAGTATTTATGGAGCAACCAAACCAACTTGGGCCACAAGAGATTCTCATCTCATCTTTAAAAAGAAAAGCTCAAATCAAAGTAACATGCTATCATATGCGTTCCTTCAATTCTAAGTAATAACGAATCAAATCTAAGACTAATATATACTCTCTCTCTCTCTCTCTCTCTCTCTCTCTCTCTCTCTACAATGCCTAAAGTACCCTCATCCTTGCAATTTGCAATGGCTTTGCTTTTCAATATTTTTAAAATGAGCCACCGCCAACCTAGGCACAAACAAGCCATATGCACTTTTGCTAAGTTACATTTGGGTCCAATCCAAGAGTGATCGCTTCCTCGTGTATTACCTACCCTCAAACTAACTTGTAATAGAATACAATGTCATGAAGCACTCATGTCGTGCATCTATTTTTTCCTACTTGCAACTTGCCACCACAAAAAAACAATGGCCTTAATTCCCTTTTTGTTCCTCTCTTGGTTTAACATATATACCCTTCAGCCCTCATCCTGTCCTCCAATCTCCATCTCTCTTTCTCTACAGTCTACCCTCTAATATAATGGCTCCTTGGTTTTTGTTCATCCTTGTTTCTGCTCTCTTCCCACTTTCCCCACAAGTCCACGGTCTCAACTACACCGATGTGCAGGCGGCAGTTACGGATATGAGATCAAAGTCTTACTATGGATTTGCAATTCTTCTGCAGATGCTAAACAGCACGTCGCAACCATACCGGTCCTTAACTTTCTTGATGCCAGGTGACTCCCAATTATCTGAATCCCCAATATCAGTAGACCATCTCGAAGATTTCCTGATAAGTCACGCTGTCACAACCCCTCTCCTTTTCAATGACCTGTTACATTTTCCAACCGGGAGCCTTATACCGTCTGGTGCCGAGAACAAGATGATCAGAATCAACAACCGTGGCAGAGCTAACTTCTTTGTCAACAATGCGCATATTGTCACACCCAATATTTGCCAGAACTCTTACATTAAGTGCCATGGAATTGATACTGTAATTCAGTACGAGAATAGCTCATACATAAATAGCTAAATGAATCCAACATCATGCTGGTTCAACTTACAAACCCCTACTAGTACTACACTAATGCTATGAAGCCTCTCTGCCCCTAGTTAAGGTCTCTTTATCGCAAAAGAACTTTATTCTGTCCATGTACTGTCTTGCAAGTTAGTTATACAAATATTCATCTTCAAGAAAAGTTCTAATCCTACTCCACAAACACATATAAGAACCAGATCGAACCACGGTGGATTAAACTGCATTTATCCTTCTCCCCAATGAATCTATTCCAATTACAGTTTAATTTTTGTTCGGTAAAGAATGCTAAAGAAATCCTCATTTGATTCATTGAACACAAAGAAACATGTTACTGAAATAGAATAATGTAGCAGATAAAGCATAGCATTCAGTAACAAAAAAGACTTTGTTATTCATGTTCTTCACGTGCACCATGTACAATCACTCACCAGTAACTTCAACACCCTTTAAGAACGCACAAACTCTTCTACTGCGAAAGGACTTTCACCTTTTGGTCAGTATATCTTGTGCATAAGATGGTAGATTAGATACTGACCCCGATGAAGCAAAAGATGAAATAGGAACAGTACAAAACAAATTACTAACATATGACAGCGGATTTAGATAAATCTTTGATGAATTTGTTTTCCATAAGTTCGTCTGCCATCACCCAATCTCCGGTTTGCTTGAGCTATTCTGCTTTCTGCTTCGGACTTCTGGGAACAATCAGAACTTTTGGACAACTTCTTGGCACAAAAGTTAAATCCAAACTCCATCTTGTTTTGAGATAAGCTTTCATGATGTCCATATGGAGAGTCATAGCCCATCTCGTCAAATTCCTGCAAAAATTCAACCCTATTTCAAACATTTATGACTTGCAATCAATCTGGAAAAGCATACAGGGTTTATGAGTTCTATAGGAGACTACTAGAACCAAACAAACATGTAATAGGTAAAACAAAATTAAATGTGACCTTGGACTTTGTTTTTGCATAATAGGGTGTCAAGCAAGGATTTAAATCCTTCAGGAACATGTCATCTGGACTACCAGGGCTGGTTGGATCACCAGAGCTGAACTCCTGTTTGAATGAACAGATTATTAGTTAAAAGGAAGTAGGAAATGTAAATTGACTTGAACATCACTTTGTCTATTACATTTGTAAATCTAAGATCATTCGGCCCTAGCTGTCTATTACATTTTCCAAATTATTACTTCATCAAGGTGTGCTTACAACAGAGTTGGAAGGTTCATTGTCATCATATGTTGGGGTTCTTGGAGAACTATCATCACGTTGAAAACGTGCCCTAACTGAACATTTATCTGCCTTCACCTGCTCAATGAATATAACATTTGTCAGCAAAATCTAAGACAAAAACTAAAAGTAAATAAATAAATCCCAGACCAGCATTTAGTTCCCTTTGAATTCAGTAAGCATAGTATTCCACAGAGAAGGGAACATTATAGTCATAATGGATGTTGGAAAGAATCCTCTAACAGTAGAATATTGCATTACGACGTAAAAGGATCAATTAAAAAGTGAAAAGGTGAATGGCAATACCTCAGCAAGATCCTCTGCAAGGCACTGAAGCTGGCCAGTAAGGGAAGTGACCTGCCTTTGAAGATTTGGGATTACTTGTTTTGCTTGCTTCAGCTCTGACCCCTGCTTCTCTAACATCTCTTGAAGCTGAGAATTCATAACATCTGGAAACAAAATCGCATTCTTTAATGATTTGATTTCTTCCCTTTGCTTCAAACACAAATCCTTCAATTTATCCACCTGCACTTTCCAAACAAGTCCACCGCCTCATTATTTCTCTATTACAAAAACCGCACTCAAATTGGCCCAATTTATAACTGTCCAATTCAACTTTAAAAGGTCTGGAATTTACTGCCGAATTGTTTCAAAAGTTTGAAATCTGTGACACTAATATGTACTTCATAAATGTAAACGCAGAGTTAACAAATGAAAAAAAAAAATCAAAATTTAAAGTTCAACCTTATTATCTGCGCAAAAAAGAAGGGACAAAATGACTCACTTCTCCGTTCTTTTCTTGAAGCATCAACTTGAGCTCCGCAATCTCCACTTCTTGCTCCTTATTCAGATTCAAAAGCTCTCTCTCACTTCTTAACACCATGGCCAGCGTCCTGGTGTTCCCTTTTACCTCAGTCAACGCTTTGACCTCCTTTTTCTTATCTGACGACGTCGTCCCTGTTCCTTTCCCAAAGAGCTTCCTACCCAACGCCGTTAAATTCGAACCCGTCCCGTTCCTGGCCGTATTTTTCAAGTCGCCGGCGATTAGATCAGACGGAATCACCAAGCCCGTGGCCTTAATTGGCTTAGCCTTGGACGTGGATCGCTTTTCCATGAACTTTTTCATCATCGTGGCGATGTTGGGATCCGACGCCTTAGATTTGACCACGGCGCGTGAGGATGTGGGGAGCTTGAGCTCAGTGGAAGACGAAGGGTCGGAGAAGTGCGACGAGGTTGAGGAGCGTGCATCATACGAACTGTACCGCGACGAAGGCTTCATTGTAAGGCACTGAGCCGACTTACTGAGCTCTGCTAGTGCTAGGGTTTCTGAGGATGAGGGAGGAACTGAGCGACTACTGGAGAGTATTTGAAGTTGGAATTGAATTATTGAATGGTTTTGAAAAAGAGGAGGAGGAGCTCCAGGACACGTGGCGCTGTCAGCAGCTGTGTCTTGCCGCTGTCTTAATTCAAATTTTTGCGCCATCCGCGCCGTCAGCCTTCGTTTTGTTCGATTGGGGCTCGTTTGAGGGCGCCTCGTTTAATTACTAACTCCCCCTCGCTCATTTTCTATATTACGGTATTACCATTCCCAGCCTTAGACATCAAACGGCGTGTCGTCTCAGTGGTGTTCGCTTAGATCTGTGCACTGTTAATATGTGGTGGATAGTAATTTCGCGTCTCCAAATATTTGGTTTCACTGTCCATTTCTTTCTAAAATTGTTCAAAGGATAAATCTAATTCGCAAAGAATACTTCTTTTTTCGATTTTTACGTACACTTGAAAATACTTGTGATCTACATTTAAAAAAATCGTAACCACTTGATTAATCTAACATGGGAAAAAGGCTGTGTTGGAGTCAGATGAAAATTAGGGTGTTGATTAAAACAAAGTAAAAAAAACCGATCTCATTTAAGACAGAGAACTATAAATAATACGATATAAAAAGTTAGCATTAGTTATATTAAGGGAAAATTACAGTAAACTCCTCAACCTATAGGATCATTTACGAGTGCATATTTGATTTTGGGGACATTTACGAGTACATATTCAACGTCGCGGAAAACTTACAATTTGTCTCATCTTAGTCAAACTGTTAATGAGTCTGTTAAATGATGATGTGTTAAAAGCGTGAATTTTTTTTAATGACGTGGACTTCCACGTGGACCAAAAATTAATAAAAAATTATTTAACTATTTAAATTATTTATTGTTGTTAAACTAATTCAAATTTAAAAAAGCAAAATTAAAAATAAAAATAAAAATCTGGCAAAAATGAAAAGAAATTTTTTTCTCTTCGTCTCTTTCTCTTCCCACACCCCACCAACCCACCCTTCCTCCTTGCACACAGCCTTCAAAGCCATCGACTTTGTTGTCGTTGTATAGAACCAAGGGCAAGATCTCCGTCCTCATCAATTGCGCCAACCTCACCACGACCTTGTACAAAATCGATCGGCCCTCTCGCTTTCGTCTCTACCCCTCCCATATCAAGAAGATGAGAAATTGAGAATGGAATTGATGCATTTCCAGTGCAAACCTAAATTCTCATACTCAAAGCCACATCCTTTTTGGGTCTAAGAGATCTGAACTGGATCACATGCTGTGATTCTTGGCTCTGAATCAAATGGGTTCATCTACAAATTCTGAAAGATTGTTCAACAGACAAAGACCCCTTCAAGAGATCCTTGGTGGAGGCCTTGGTAAGTCATCATCTTCGGATTCTTCGAGGAAGATTCTGTACAAGACCAACTTTTGCAGGTCCTTGGAGGAATCTGGAAGCCGCCTTTACGTTCAAAGGCCATGTCTCTCTCTCTCTCTCTCTCTCTCTCTCTCTCTCTCTCTATGTTCCTGTTCTTAAGTTTTTCTTTATAAATATTTAATTTTTATGAATTTATAATGGCTGAAGTATTTTATTAGCCAGTTTGGAGAAAACATTTGCTCATTTGTGAAATTATTGGCTGAACTCTCTCTCTCTCTCTCCATCTCTGTGTGAAATTGTTGCTGGTTTGTTGTTTTTATTTTAAGATATTTCTGTTTGGAGAAAACAATCTTTGTATGCCAGTTTAGTACTCTTGCACATGAACTTCTTTTTAGCCTAAAATTCAAGAATATTTGTATGTCAACAGAGGAGGAAGGAGCTCAAGGTCATGATTTCGCCTCTGCCCCTCTCAGATCTTGGACCCAGAGGTGAGGTGGTGGGTAAGGGGGTGGGGGCTGTTGGGTTTTGGTGTTAGGGGAGGTGGGAAGAGGAGAGGCAGTTGATGAATAATGAGATCTTGCCCTCGATTCTATACAACGACAACGACGTTGGTGACGATGGCTTTGAAGGCGGTGTGCACGAAGGGAGGGTGTTGGGGTTGGGAAGAGAAACATACGAAGATAATTTTTTTTTTCTTTTGATTTTTGCCAGATTTTTGTTTTATTATTTTAATTTTGTTGTTTAAAATTTGAATTAATTTAACAATAATAAATAATTTAAACAGTAAAATAATTTTTTGTTAATTTTTAGTCCACGTCATCAAAAAAAGGGGTCCCACATTTGACAGATCATCATTTAACAGACTCACTAACAGTTTGACTAACATATGGGACAAATTGTAAGTTTTCCGCGACGTTAATGTACTCGTAAATGTCCCCAAAATCGGGTATGCACTCGTAAATGACCTTATAGGTTAGGGGGTTTACTGTAGTTTACTCTTATATTAATTTAATTATGTATGTCGACTTACATAAATAAACTTTATAAGATCAATTAAATGATTAAATTTTTTTAAAATACTCTTTAATGCATCGATGTCAAATATAGAAATTCGGGATCCGTATGTTTAATATCCACGGTCGTTTGAGGATTTTACAACCAAAAAAGTTGGTCTTGAGGACCAATCCATTCCAAGCGAAATGGACAAGTTGAGCATCCAAAACTGACAAACCCAGCTACTTACTGTTCAAAACAGCTCGGCCCAAATAAAGTCCATCTCTAATATTCATCCGAGTTTTTTCTTTCAGACCAAATAAAACTTCTTATTTTCTTGTCCGGCAAACATCATTTTCTTTCGAAACAAAAACAAACCGAAGTACCCCAAATAAAAAACCCAAGCTGGGGTTTTTTTGTCCTCCCAGTAAATTATTGCAGTACAGTCATAGTCAGTTTACAGCAAAATTCAAAAACAGACAATCTATGCTCCCCTAAAAGCTTGAGTATTTATGACACTCAAAAACCCGAATACCTAAATCTTCAGAAAGGAGAGAAAATCTCACAAATGTCTGAATTTCTGAACTGACCCGTTGATCCCCATCCGAAAAACTATCAAACCCAATTACAGTAGTTCAAATTGTTTTGGGGTTTAAGTCCTTGTATAGATATACCAAGTCGTTGTGCTTCTTGTTTATATAAGTGCGTTTGAACAGACACACTTAAAGCAGGCGCTGCTGCTCGTGAGCTCGCTCAGCTTCAGGAATCAACAATGGGTCGTTCTCGTGGAAACTTTCATTCTGATGAGGACCCCACTCAAAGGTTTTAGTTGGTTTTAATTAAAGTGTTATTATTTTCCGTAAATTATTAGTTAGAGTTGCATTCAACCTTGCGTGGTTAGGGATTTTCATTCTGTGTGTTTTTATTTTGGGGTCAAAATCTGCATTTGGGTACGTTTTGGAGCTTTGATTGTGTGGTTCTGCTGAATGAAAACATTGATAAGCTGTTAAACTGGTATACTGGAGAATAACTGTGTAATCAACTGGAAGAGCCAGTCCCATATATTCTTGCTCATGGCCAGGAAAATGTATAGAACGGGGTAATGTAAAATGGGACTGCGTATTCTTACCTAAACTTTTAGTCAATCCCACATGACTTGTGGGATTTTCATTTTCCCGGAAAATACAGGCAAGCCCACTTAGCAAGTGATAAATCTACAAATGCGTTTTGCTTTACTTTTTCTGTATTAGTCTTATTTTAGTTCACATCTTTTTTCTGCCATTGGGACCTTCAGGCTGCCTGTGTCCTATCCTATGACAGAATCCTTTACTCAACATCCATCTTTCATAACTTGGACCGTGCTGATGTTTCATTATCTTTTCGGGACATATATGAAGTTTTATCTGAATACCAACTTTTGATCAAGCAGATCAAGGAGAAAAAAGAATGCATCCACTGGAGAAAACTTAGAATCTTCAGTAGCAGGTACTTTTCACACCATCATGTAGTTCTGAATTTAATTTGTTAAAAAGTGGGATATTGCAAATGGTTTGTATAACTTTTGCTGTTTCAACTTCTTGTTATAATGGTATTATGATATTCTAATCATGTCAAGGAAGAATTACCCTACACTCTTTGTTTATCGACATATGCCTCCAAAAATAATTATTCATTCTAATTCATTCTTTATTTCATCTTAATTTTGTTTTAAACTTTCAAAATTTCCGGGCGCAGGTCAGGGAATAAGTGAAGGGAAAAGGGCTTACCACTGCAATTATTGCAACAAAGACATTACGGGGAAGATCCGAATCAAGTGTTGTATGTGCCCTGATTTTGACCTATGTATAGAGTGTTTTTCTGTTGGAGCTGAGTTGACATCTCATAAAAGCAATCACTCTTACAGGGTTATGGTTAGTATTAAGAAACCGTCTCATTTTTCTTATATCTTGTTAAATAGAGTTCTCTGTGGTTCTTATTTATTGACAGACTATGTGAATCAAGTGTTGTGTAACATAGAAATGAGCTTAGCCCTGTTTAAGCAATTCTCTAACAACTAAAGTTAGGCATCCTTTTTCTCTATGAAGTTGAGAGGGATGCTATCATCTAATACTTTTTCTTTTGACTTACCCTTTCAACAAATATTCATCATATCTAACTGAAACTCTGTTTGTAAATGCTTTTCCAAAGGTAAATAGAATGTGCACTCAATCATTTATTTTTTAACATGTTATGATTCTCAGCCAATAAAGTTGCTAGTCTAGTTTTATCCAGTTATGATGCAATGTTTGAAATTAGTGACTTTGGACAATAAAATGTAGCCCTCTTTGCACTTAAGTTTTTATTTATTTATTTATTTATAATACATATATATATTTCCCTTTCAACAGGACAATTTATCTTTCCCGCTTATTTGCCCAGACTGGAATGCAGATGATGAAATACTGCTTCTGGAGGTACTTTGTTTTGTTTTTAATCCCTCAAATAAAGTTGCTACTGATCTTTTTTCTATCTTTTCAACAATGTATTTGGACTTCGCGGGTAAAATTTGACTTATATCCAATTTCAATCTTTGTTATATAAATTCCCTTATTGCAGGCAACTGAGATGTATGGATTGGGGAACTGGGCTGAAGTTGCTGAGCATGTTGGGACAAAGAGTAAAGAACAATGTATAGAACACTACACAAATGTTTATTTGAACTCGCAACGCTTTCCTATTCCGGTATGATGCATTTTGAACAAGTCAGGTCTCTTTCAATCTTAACCTTTCACAAAAATAATCAAGTGCTGGAATGTTTGTTTTCAAGGACATGTCTCATGTAGAAGGAAAAAATAGAAAGGAGCTTCTTGCTATGGCTAAAGGGCATGGAGAGGACAAGAAAGGTTAGTGATAATTACTTACTCTCAATGTTTGGTATCTCTGTTTCCTTACATTCTGAACCGTTAGCATGCATTAACAAAGTTATTTTCATATACTGGACTTTTAGACAGGCATATACGGTGGCTGATGTTCTGTTCTGCCCAATTAAAGTTCTAGTCTCCCATGCTATGTGTAGAACTGCTCCTCATAGTATAATGATAATTCTCATGGAAGACATATTCTAGATCAATTTCCTGCATTCAGTTTCCCTATATTTATATTCTTTTAAAATAACAAAGAACATTGAATTTTTGTGAATTAGGCGGCCCATACTTTGTAGTTTATGTATGTCTTCTGGTTGTTTTGGTTATATTCTCGTTCATTTTATTCTTCTTAGTGTTGGTTTTTCTTATTATCAAATACTTGTGACTGTTGTAGGATTTCCTCTGCTGGGGGATCATAGTTTGAAGGAGGAATCTCCATTTTCTCCTTCAAGAACCAAGTATGGTCATCATTCCCACAAATTAATGATATTAGACTATTAGTACACATATGGTACATTTTAATGGGAATCTTCTTGATTTACTCAGAGCGGAAGATATGCACAAAGGTGGCCATTCTAGCCGTTTACTGTCTAGCATCAATACTGGTCAGATAAGATCTATTCTTGACTCCCTGTTTATGATTGATCAAATATAGATGATCTTGGACGTTTCTCAGGTTTATTCCTTTCTTTCTTATACTTCAGATGCAGAATCTGGACTTCGCTCTAGTGGTGCAAGTGTGGCAGCAGCAGCTGGTAACAAGAAGCCATCCAACATGGCCCAGGTTAAAGATGGTCCTGGTGTCATTAAAGTGGAAGGTGATACAAAATTTTCACCAATAGATTGCAACTAGCACGTCGGTTTTTTTTTTTTTTTTTTTTGGGGGGGTCAAGTCCTAACAAAATCTGACACAAGTTTAAACACTATGGCTGAAGCAATGATGGTTGTACTCTGTGTGTGTGTGTTTGTGTTTTCAGGTAAATCACATTGACTGGTGTTAATTTTGACAACACAAGAATAATTTGTCCTGTGCACATCACAAACTTCCAGTCGTCTACTAAATGAATATTAAGAAGTTACAAGAATTGGTGTGGGATCCCTAATTTTCTAGTAGTAGGTTATCTAATCTTGTTTCTATTGTTTATGGCAGAACCTCAAGCAGATAGAAAAGGGAAGAAACCAAGTTCTTTGGGGAGTTCGGGCCCTTCTTTAGTCGAGTCGAGTGGTTATAACGTCAAAAGGCAGGAGTTCGATCCTGAATATGATAACGATTCCGAGCAGCTATTGGCTGACATGGAATTTAAGGATACTGACACTGAAGATGAGCGTGATCTGAAGTTAAGAGTGTTGCGAATCTATTCAAAAAGGTAGCTCACTAAGTTGATTTTGGTACATATTTACACCTAGATTAGTATATTATAATTCATTTATTTTTTGGAACTTAAAGTAGGCAAAACGCAGACCAAATTAGGAATAAGTGAAGAAAAGTAAATTGATTAAAAAAAAAGGAATTTAGTCATTAATGCAAATTGCAATGGATGAGGATTCTGTTTTATGTGGCTTCTTTTTCTGTTTCAATTTCCTCTTTTTGGGTTAAGAAAAAATTCTTGTTTGGCTGAATTTCTTTTTGTACTTTTGGTCTACTTTGAGGTTTTGTATATATACCAAGTAGCAATATAACATGAGATCTAACACAACAATTTTTGCTTAAAGCTATTAAATGTTTTGACCTTCATGAGGATAAACTTGTTTGCAGACTTGATGAGAGGAAGCGTAGAAAGGATTTCATACTAGGAAGAAATTTATTATATCCTAATCCTTTTGAGAAGGACCTATTGCCTGAAGAAAGGGCGATATGTCGACGTTATGATGTCTTCATGTGCTTCCATTCCAAGGAAGAGCATGAAGAATTACTTCAGACTGTTATTGCGGAGCATCGGACTATGAAAAGAATTCAAGAACTTAAGGTATGATACTTGGCTGACTTTGGACTTCTATATTTACTTGATTCCGTTATCTTATTTGAGAGCAAAATGCTCTTGGACGCTAATCCATTTTTCAGTTACCAATTGGAATATATTGTCCATAAGCATATGCCAGAACTAATTTCAGTTGTTCTCAAATCGCATGTAACCAAAAACATTTCATGGAGAGGTGCCATGTCTTTCCTTTCAAACTGTAAACATGCATGTTTAATCTTAAAAGTTAGGATGCATGGTGTCAATTTTGTGTCCAATTGTTGGTTGCCTTTTCCCCTTGGATCATCATACTCTTTAAATCCATGAGCAGTTGTCTGATATATTTACAAAGCACACACATGGGTATTGCTTTGTTGATTCCTTCCACGAATCTTGTAATATAATCATGCAGGAAGCCCGAGCTGCTGGTTGCCGTACATCGGCCGAGGCAGATAGATATCTTGAGCATAAACGGAAAAAGGATGCTGAAGAAAATGCTCGCAGAGCAAAGGAAAGTGGGCAAGTTGGTCCGAGCAGTCAGGGAGGTCCAAATTTGTTCATGTCCTCAGAGTCTGTTGACAAGGACTCAAACTCAAGGCCAGCTGGACAGGCTACTTCAAGCTCTGCCAGTGATATGGATATAATGGGATTTTATGGATCGGATTTACTGTCTGAAGCTGTAAGTATTCATTAATAACTTCCTAGGTTGTCAATAGGTAAGCATAAGGACACAATTCTGGTTGTTCGCTCTGTTCCTATGGTTTACCAGTCACGAAGAAGTGATCTCTAACTTGGCTGCATTGCATCTGTCAGCCAAATTAATCCAAATATATAGTTTTCATAATATGGTTTTTCCTTTTTCTGGATGTGACGTGGTACTGGATGCTGAGTCATCAAACTTTTAGATATTACTTGTAGGACTGGATGCAAAGCCCATGTACTTTTATTTCTAACCTATGTGACTATTGTACTTGTACAAAGCCTTTTTCTGAAGCAATCTACTTTTTGTCCCATGGCAGGAGAAACGTCTCTGCAGCGAGATTAGGTTACCACCACCCGTTTTCCTCAAGATGCAAGAAGTTATTTCAATTGAAATCTTCAGCGGCAATGCCAGTAAAAAATCAGATGTCCATCACTTGTTCAAGATTGAACCTAGTAAAATCGACAGGGTTTATGACATGCTTGTGAAAAAGGGGATCACGCAGCCTTGATAGTAGATACCATTTTAGGCTTCATGTTGTTTTTGTTGTACATTGTTTGGATTTGTATCAGTTTTGTTCCAGAGAAATAACAAAATTGCAAATGCTGCTGCTATATCCTCTCCTTTCCATTTCAAAATTGCTTAGTTACCCTGTTATAATATCATTACAGAAAATATGAAATATAAGCGCAATTTAATCAAGCCTTCTTTCGATTGATCCAAAATACAGATGTATTACGATGTCCAAGATCTTACCATTTCCGAAGAAACTGGAGTTACATCTCTTTTCCCTTTCCATTCAAGAGTTCTTATGTGTTTCCACGCCCTGAATGGCAGTCTCTCGTTTCCTTGGTTTTAATGGTCATGTCATGCGAGTAGAGACCTTGGAAAAACCATTTGAAAATGAAATGTAGTATGAAAACCTACTGAAACTAAACAAAAGCAGTCGAGTAAAAGGCTTACGGATATACAAGGGTAAAGGAAAAATAAAGTTCAAATAAATATAGTATAAAAACTGCGGACGAGTAAGCTTCATCAAAACCAAAATCATAAGCAAATTTATAAAATTGACACTTAAAAACAACGAAGACAGATACATTAATAAAAATTGAACAAATACACAATTGTGTCGTTTTTTAAAAGAAGTGAGATTTAAATTCTCAAATCAAAACTACTATCGCAAGGAAAACTATTTAAAAAAAATATATGAAAAGGAGAATCAATGATACCATATCACTCCTTAATACTGAGATGAAGATGATTAACATACACTACATCCGATCCAAATCCTATTCTTAGCTAAAAGTTGTTTTGAAAGCAATGCCTTCATAAGCTTTACAATTAAATCTAAAGACTTAAAGAAACTATACTTAAAAGATACCATTAAGATACAAAGGGAAATTTTTAAAAGTTCACCGCTCATGCATGGGTGCAAAAGCACACCCCAATTACTCCTACGAGTGAGTTGAGCTGCTACTGCCTAACCTGATGACCATCAGATTACATTTACTTGGGCACTTGTTGAACTCAATAAACTTAAACCTATCAGATATATAGCTGTACACCTGCCAATTCTCATGATGTTAGAAACTTGATAATAGTACTTTGCATATCTCAATTCCCTATTCCCGACAGTTCATCTTATCTACAAGAACAATGAACCCAACCTTCCAGGATCCTATGGTCAAAAGTAAAAAAATCTCCACCTCAGCCCTGAGCAGCCATTTCTGTGGCTCCCGGTGTTTCAGATTTCTCATAGGCGGGATCAACTTCTTCCTTATAAATCAATTCATCCTTGCTGCAAGTACATTCATCACCGCCACTAGAATTGTTCTTTTCGTCCTCATTACTGGTACAAGGCCGCTCCCTCAGATTCACCCTCTTCACATTTCCAAATACATCATCAGGTGGGGATAAATCTGGTAAATTCTGTTTTTCTTCTGCCATAGAACTAGCAGAGATTGTTAAGAGCTTCATGCTAGAACTGATATTTTCAGATATATGTAAGAGTATATCAGGCTTTGCCTTCACATCAACCCATGTGTTCTCAACCCAGTCTCTGGAAGCCCTAACATCCTTTCTCTGGAAAATCATAAGCTTCTCCTCACCTAGTATAAATTGAAAGAAACATCACTCATCGTGATAATTTATCAGAAAATCAGATAACACATTTTACCAGCTTGATCAGAAGTTCAAGTAAACTAGCAATGCACTCTGTGAAAGGTAAGAAACATAACTTAAAATAAAATACAAAAAATCTCATACCAGGGAAGTAGATTTGTAGAGTATCAGTTCCTGAAATGTCAACTCCAGCAACAACACCTTCCCACCAGCCGTCACACCACCATGCATCGACTGGTACTCCAACATCAAAAGTACACTCCGTAGAATCATTAGGACAACAGGGTCGGATTGTCAGGCGGCCTGAGCATCTCATGCCCAGTTTATCAGGAGCAGCAACTCTAAACGCAGGGACCCATTCCTACACATTAACAAAAAATGTGGAGATCTAAATTCCTTTGTGATTAGTTTGCTTAAACAATCCAATTACAAAAAGAAAAACATACAGACAAAACATTTCTTGAAAATGCAAATGCTAGAACACAATGTTGATGTTATTATAGGCAATTTGTTTGATAGTAGTAAGACCAACAATCACCAATGTCATTATTTCAACTCATGCAGATCATCTACTCAAACACTTGCATAGATGACTAGCAACCAAGCTATATAAAAAAGGTGCCTTCAGATCAGATCTATTTCTGATCACCAAATGTTTATCCATGCTCAACTCTTTCCATTATGAGGCCAGAGAAGAATTCAAATAAAGATCTCTAGAGGATCACATACCTCCAGATTGCCAGATCCATCTACATCTTGCACATCATCATATTGAACTTTGAAAAGCTTCTGAGATGTCCGCAAAACCTGACACCTAAACCAACATCCTCGCATGCCACTATCTTGACAGAGCAACTCTATCTTCTCATCAACCTTAAAAGACATTGGACATTGGGGCTCAGATCCAGCAATCTTAACTCCAATTGCCTTCCTAGATAATTTTAATTTCAACTTTGGGTATGTTGGAACGCAATTTGGTGGATTATTCCCAGTGACCAAATTTTTAACTACAGAACATCCCTGATTCCCCTTGCTGCTTCTATTTCTCTTACAGCTAATCCTCAGAGGATCATCAGGTGCTAACTCTTCCTCTTCCTCATCTTCATCAGATAATTTATGGCACTTGGCTTTTTGCTTGGAGACATTGTGGACATCTAAAGAAGAGAGAATTGCTTGATTAGAATACCCCCGCAATTTAGCAAGACTGAAGGGCCTAACCATATGGTTCTTAAGTTGCCGAAAGCACATATGGATTCCAGATGAAGAATTATGAGCAACAATAGCCAAGCATTTCTCGTAGTGCTTAGGAGTCAAAACTGTTGCAGGACCATCAACACACTCAGCACTGATCACCTGAACATGAGGTGTGATAAAAACTTCTCTGGGGTGTGGATTTAGATGAGGAACTACATCCTTGACTTCCCGAGTGTGGTGAAACCAACGCACTTTAACCTTTTTCTGCCCCTTCTTGTCTTCATACATGTCTTCCAAGTAACCAAGGTAGTGGTGTTCTTCTAACGCCATTATAAACACAAAAGAATGGACCTGAAAATCAGGGCCACAAGAATAAACATTACAGAGGATCTCTATGAAAATTAAAGAGATGCTACTGAAGAAAAGAAAGAGCACCACTAAATGTAGAAATAATAACACATACAACAAAAAAAGGTAGATATCAGTTGATGCTTACACAAATGGTAGCTCCATTCCTGCAAAATGCTGGGTAGTGCTTGAGCTGTTTGGCACAACTCCAGGCAACACCAGACCATTCAATGTCTGAATTGTGAACTTTCAATTTCCTTGGAACCTGGTTAAGAAATGGAGATTACTTAGTAAAACTTTTCTAAGAACCCGAAACCCAGACTTAGCAAAAGACAGCATGTGAATACCATCTGATCTGGCAGATAAGTTTGATGAGCACAAAAGCCAGTAATTGGTAATGCTTGTGCTGTTTCATCTGTTGGTGAATCTGCTATAGGAAGAATAAGTTTGTTTAAACTTACAATACAAACTCAAACAAGTATGCGTAGAGACAAACATGACAAAAGACCATACATGCATTCAAGAATAATACCATAATTACTGTTCCTGAAGCTATGAAAACTCAACAGTAAAAAAATAAAATAAAAAAGCATACCAACAAGTGACAAAGTACCATTTAATAGTATGCTTTCCAATATTTACTAGTCAGCAGAAAATTTTCAATCCATAAGAAGGATTTCGCCCATAGCAGGCTGCCCATCTTTATGTATTTTCTAAATGAGAATGGACTGAATATAAGAACATCTTACCATATTTTCATCTACACCAACTTACACTGAATATCAACAGGTACCCCCAAAATTCCATTTCACCATATATTTTTTGCTTTCTTATGGGCAATGGTGCACACAGAGTTGATAGTCATGATGGCTTATGGTAACATATGGCTCATGATAAGATTGGAAATAACTAAATTAAAACTAAAAAGATCTTTCAAGGCATTGTGTTTGACTCCAAAAATTAAGATTAAACATGAATTCCTGGTAAAGATAAATTAGAAAGAAAGTTGTTTAAGCAGCCAGCTTTCTCAACTTTGTTTAATAATCCATGAACGAGGTGAACAAAATATTAATTTCATAATATTGATACCTAAATAGATTATAACCTTAAAAAAAACAAAAAACTTCAAATATGAGAAATCATTATAACACCTTATAATGACCTAAATAACTTAATGCTTCCATTTAAGGTTACCACTTTAATTGAAAACTCTCATGGAATACCCAGAGGTTGACAAACTAGTTTACTAAACCAAAATAGGAAAGCAACAGAATTAATGGAAGAAAATATATTCCATTTCTCCTAATCAGCAATTTCACATGTTGACTCAATCCAGGAATAAGTTTCAACGTAAATAGCAATGTCTACGGCTACCCAGCATACCGTGTCATATGATACTAGTCTCCGCAACAGAAGCAACGACTCCACACTAAGATTCTGAATTCCTAAGGGTTTAAACAAATAAACTATTGATATGTACTAAAATCTTCCAAAATTTCAAAATTCGACAGGTAAGAAAGTAAGGGTCACTAAACTAGGGATTTAAGACTCATACCGCATGCCCCTCCCTTCCCTGGCCCCCCAAAAAAAAAGAGAGAGAGAGAAGAATTCGCATCAAAGTATAATTCCAAAATGTTCAACAAGCACTCAAATCATAGATCAAAATCAAAACAGGTAAAGACATGATAAACAAGGAAAAGATAGTGCAAAGCATGAATAAAGTGTGATTGATAGGCGTGAGATTTAAGGTACGACATGGTACCCATTCTATCATTAGAGGTCAAAAATCCCGTCGACGAACTCATACTAGTTCCCCCTCTTTCTCTCTCACTCACTCACTCCCTTCCCCCTCTTTCTCCTTCCTTAAGTGGGTGCAATGGATTTGTGAGAATTGAAGAAATAGAAGGCAAGGATGTTTAATGTGACAGGAGAACAAGCTGGCAGAAAGAGC